AATTTCTTCGCAGTCCTGTTAATCACAGCAAGGCGAGCTCTCTTTCCTGTAATTTCAAGGCATTTCAATATATTCAGGACCGATGAAAAAGGGCACAGATGAGAGTTCATCCTCATCTTGCTCCGCAACTAGCATTACATGGGAGCAAAGACCAGAACGAAATATGGATGCCTAGCTTCTGATCGTTGGCGTAAACACTCTCCCGTAAACAGTTTGTGCCAAGTGCAAGTTTCTGAGTGGTGGCGAACGGTAAACAGATCAAGCAACGCCCTAACGAGCCTGTGACAGCACCGCCGCGCGCCGGTTTCCATTCGGTGGCGGAGCTGCCCCCGCCAGCGGTCAGTACTCCAGCGAGCTCACCAGATTGCTGGCAAGCGCTCTACCAGGCGTAAATCTGTTCTGTTCGTGGGTGTCAACGAATGGAAGGCGCGGGTGCTGCCCAAGATCACCGTGGCGTCTCGCGCATTGAGAGAAAATAACGAAATTATTCTCACCTCACAGTCACGTGACCGCCCTGTGCTGCTCCGGTCCCGCCCGCCTCTGCCGCAGGAGAAAGGCGGCGAGCAGCAGGGTGACTGCGCTGGCCTTGGAGAGGCCATTGGCTTGCGAGGTAAGAACCGGGGAGAGTTGTTTCGGCGTATGGTACTCTGAGCTAGGTCTCTAGGTGTCGCTACATTGTGGGGAGGGATGTAGTCATCTATTCAGTATTCATTTGAGAAAAAGCTAGACCAAAGTAGATGTGAAACTGTCTTTGTCGTATTTGAGGCCGGATCTAAGTATTTGCTCGTGCAATAACTTTGTTGGCGAACAAGCCCGCTAAGCATTGCTGTATTTGTTGGTTATTGTTTCTTTTTTTAGTCACGTGTGATGCGGTATGCGGCGTGAATAGCTCATATATCATTTAACAGCAAGTCCTTGAATGATCCCTGACAGTGATTTTCTTCCGATGCGAAAGACAGCTAAAAGATAAACGCACTTGGCATCATGCTGATGAAGTACCTGGAAGCATTTTCAACCGCTGGCTTTCTTTCCGTCTGGCGATACAAATAGTTACATTATTACAATTTATTTTAATTTCGCTTCCCTTTATATGTCTACAACGATTCCTTTTAAAATTGTGGTGAATGCGTCGCTTATCCTCATCCACTGGTATTTCTTAAAAAAACCGGATGCGCGGTACGGGGTGAGCCTGTCGGGTTCATAACCACTACATCGCCAGACCGTGTCCTCATTGTCTGATGTACTTAATCGCTGCAACCACTGAGCAAGATCCCCAGCCTCTACAATGACACCTTTGTTGCAGATGACTGACAGCAGCATGAACAACGAGTCCAAAAAGATGTGGGGCTCACGTCCGTTTTGGGGCGTTGGGTCTGAATTCGACCCTTCATGGGTGCTGACCGACCGGCAGAAGAAGCTCCAGGCGGACCTGATCGAACTCTGTCGCAAGAAAATACGACCTTACGCGGTAGGTGACCTCTTTAAGATGCTATCCGCTTCCCTTACCCAGGACGTATGAGGATCGATCTACGGGGTCAAAAAAATTGGGTTGCCAATATCCGCAGCAGCCTGTTTTCGAGCATAGTGCTTGCGATATGGTTTGTCTGCATAATACACGTCATTTGGCAAAGCCGCGCCTTGCTTCGATATGGAATTGTCTAGCTTTAAAACACATTTACATTCCATTTTTTATGCAAAACAATGGCAGAAGTGAATTCATTACTGGCATTGTTTCGATAAAGGCGTGTTGCCGAAGCATATCTCCATTCTCCTGGTTTCTCTCCGAGGAATAAGGCTAATGCTACTGTCTTATCTACGTGAATAATGTTCCTCGCTAATGCACTGAACAACTTACATTTCGTGACCAGTGACTTCATCGGCAGTATACGGATTTCTGCTGCATGCATGAGCGTGTCAATAGGTGTGTGTGTGTGTGTGTGTGTGTGTGTGTGTGTGTGTGTGTGTGTGTGTGTGGTGTGTGTGTGGTGTGTGTGTGTGTTGTGTGTGTGTGTGTGTGTGTGTGTGTGTGTGTGTGTGTGTGTGTGTGTGTGTGTGTTGGTGTGTGTGTGTGTGTGTGTGTGTGTGTGTGTGTGTGTGTGTGTGACTGTGTGGCGTGTTTGCGTGCCAGCGTACGTGCTTGCTTGCGTACGTGCGCGCGTACTTACGTGCGCGCATTCGTGCGTACGCGCGTGCGTTCGTGCGTGCGTGCGTAGGTACGTAAGCGCTCGTTTGTGTGTGCGTATGCGTATGCGTGTGCGTGTGCATGTGTACGTTTAACATAAGTACGCTTTTAACTGTACGATGAACTGAACGGTCGACGCGTACGTACATGCGTGCATGCATGCGTGTGTACGTGCGTGTGTGCGTGAGAGCGCTCATTTATGTGTGCGTTTGCGTGCGCGTGTGCGTATGGGTATGCATATGCGTGTTTAACACGAGTACGCTTTTCATTGCCTTATCACACATTCACTATTTCAAACCCTCCCCAGGGATTTCCGCTACTTTTCAAGGGCGTCTAAAGTTATATACAGAGACTTCCATGCAATGCAAATGAAATCTCCCTTAGCCCAGTGGTGCCCCCCGTCTTTCTAATCGGAGCCTCCTTTTGGGATGGCTGGACTTCCTGTTTTTCGCAGGGCTTACATGGGAACATTACACCCCTGGCGCGGACTGTTTGCATGTCATAGCGATAGCCTTTAAAGACGCATTTAATTGTGCTCACACAGAGCGCTTGCGTTTCGAATTATTCTCCCCGTTATAAGCACGTGTGACGGGAACTCCACGACCCTGGAGATAAACACAGTCTGGACGTAACGCACTTTGCTCATTTTGTCATTTGTAAAGGGAAGATGGAGCTCGAGATAAAACAATGGTGTGTTGGTTTTCGCTCTGGCCGGATCAACCGGTCGAATGGTCAACAAGCTGTCAGCCTTGCCGATTCACTGTTGCAAATTGTACCCACTTCGCAAAATTATCGCTATGCTTTACGACCCACTGTTAGGACTGTAAACCGCCGCCAGAAAACGTAACACCACTATGCAATTACTACGAAGCATATTCATTATGACCAAACATACACAAGTGACAATGACCTGCCCGTACTGCGACTGTGGGACAGCGGTGTATCACACTGAATAGCAGTGATAACGGTACACTGCTTGCGACGCAGGTCCACTGCGACAAGACCTACGAGTTCCCACGGGAGTCCCTGAACGCCCTGGCCGACATGGGGCTGCTGGGTGTGATTGTCCCGAAAGAGCTGGGCGGACTCGGGGAGAATCACGTGGGCGCTGCCATGGTGGTCGAGACTCTGGCCCGCTACGGCTGCCCCAGCACCGCCATGGTCTACAGTGAGTAATGTCGGTAGCACCGCCGTGGTCTACAGTACGTAATGTCGGTAGCACCGCCATGGTGCACAGTGCGTAATGTCGGTAGCACCGCCATGGTCTGCAGTAAGCAATGTCGGTAACATTGCCATGGTCTACAGTGAGTAATGTCGGTAGCAGCGCCATGATCTACAGCGAGTACTTTCGCTAGCACCGTCTTGGGCTCTACTATCTAATTCTACCAACAGCCTCGTGCTCCGCACTGGCACTGTCTTGGTCTACAGGGGTACCGTCGCTAGCACCTCCATGGTCTTTAGTGAGGCGCCGTGGTCTACACAGAGAGCGGCAACTGCCAACGCCGTAGTTTGCAGCGAGTAGAGCCATGTTTGCTTTGCCAAAGCAATGGGCCTCCACGGTAACCCCGACACTGCCGTGATTTAGCGTGAATAAAACGCCGTTTGTTTTGAAGTCCACCTGCTTCGCCTGTCTCTGTCATGCTGCGGTCTGCAATAATAAACATTGTTTTTAAAACTATCTGCAGTCTTAGCTGACTACTGCAGTACTCTACGTTCCGTAGTAGGGTACCGCAGTTCGCTACCACCATGTCACGCCATGAGCACCGTCTGTGACTGAAGCCTCGCTTTTGGATTATATCGCATTCCCTGCTAATATATGGCTCGCAGTGAATGTACTGCTGTCATTGACTCAGTGTACTTTCTTGGTGTCACGTGCGTCGCCGTAGTCTACAGCTTGAAATGTTCTATTACCTAAGCGTGAACCGACTCATTAGCACATCCGGCGTCGCGCAGAAGTCTTAGTGATAGATACGGTATGCCAAAAGTGATTTCGACTCTTACACACAACGATGAGGTGGAATTTAACTTGAGCCCCGAACAGTGCAGTATAGTGGGGCGTTGGGTTAACTCCGATTCCGGATAAAGCATAGTGTCCTAACTCCGCAATCAATTCTGATGGAATCGATTGAATTGACTATAATTCATGAGAACTAACCACGAGAACGCCACATGATTTGCACAACACATAACCCATAACAACACAAGCATGTCTGCATAACACATGTATTATGTGAAGACGCTAGTTTATGGCTGACGTGTGATATGGCGTTTGATATGTGATATGACGTGTGATATGACGTGATATGATATGATATATGGTGTTTCCGTGTGATAAACAAGAAAGCTGTCGTATTATTGTTTGTACTGGTCTTGGTGTCTGTTCTAGTTGATACATCACATGATAAATGCTGTTATATTTGCTTGAGTTGACAATTTCATGTGAGTTAGAACACTGATGACTTTTTCGGCTTAATTCCAAGCCGACTCGCAACACCTTGAAGAAACATTTTTTAATCTGATCCAGCAAAAGTTAATGTGCCTTTGAAGTCACCTCCATCTTCAACTCCAATTAAGCACAAGGCTGGTCAAGGATAAGCATTGAGGTTGGTGTTATTTGCTCAGAATAGTCTGCTGGTTATAGGTCGGCTAGTTGTCCCAATTTTTCCACGATATGCCTATTCTTCTGCCACCAACGCATCGTATTTTATTACGGGATAGCATCGTATCTATCCAGCTACAGTCCGTAGCAAATGTTCATTGTTCAACCATCGCATTTGCATTCGCTGAATGGATTGAGTGATACGGCGGTGATCGGTGCACACCTTGACATGGATGACCCGTCTTATTTGGCCCACAGCTATGCACCTGAGTGCCGTGGCGGCCCTGCTCTTCCGCTACCACAACAACCCGACGATCCAGGACGTGCTGCGCCGCCTGGACAAGGACAGGCTGGTGGGGACGTTGTCCTACAGTGACCCGGCTACCGGTAGGTGATACCTAACAACAGCGTATCATGTCAGGCCGGTGTTTATAGAATGGGCTGGATATGTTGTTTTAGCGGAGGACGATTTCTACGTTTGTTTCGCAGCGAACGTCCGCAAGGCTTGGTGTTGGGATGTACCAGAAAGGGCACCAACATTCGGAGGTATTCATAGGCGTGTTACCTGTATGTAGGTGATGATGGGCCATATGTTTTACCTTTTAAGAAAGTTTAATACTAACCTGTTATCATTAACGCGGGTGTATGATATGATCTGTGATCTTATCATGCATCCGATGATAAGAAGGTACCATACATACATACTTTTCATCATCAATGCTTACTGCTAACCGATAATCATCAATGCCATACGCAGATAGATCGTCGTCTTGGTCTGCAACAAAGATGGACTTTAGAGACCTTCATATAACTGTGTCATTAAGTCATCAAAAAGTTTCACGTAAATTTGTTTACTCTTCGCTAGGATAGATCACGGAGGCTAAACTCTAAGCGGCATTTTGGACGAAAGGGCGGACAATGGAAATAACTCAAATAATTTTGTCTCAGCCTTTGCTCATGTTCGCAAACAAGTGACTCGGGGTCATGTCATGTTGTTGAGGTGTTAAGTCATCCCGGAATGCTAGCACATAAATTTTGACGTGGAATATGAGCTGCTTCGTTTTGTTTCTTTTTTGCTGCTTGTTGGCAATGAATGATGCATCTAGCCACAAAAATCGGTATGGAATGGAATTCTGTCACTGCGCAGATTCTTTACGGAGGTCGAGATATTCTGTAACCATGCATACCGGTTACCTTTACTGAACACGCCAGAGATCGGCCTTCAAAGCTTTACATAATAAATAGTGTTGGCAATGCTACGTTTTGAAAACATAGGTCAACATGGCGACAGAAAAGAACGCAGTATTTTGCTCTTGGCGATGCCAACAACATTTTGAGTTTCAGTCAGTTTGCATGATCTTGTCGCTGCCAACTGATGGACCTGATGCGGCTGTGCGACACCGGGACCTCGAAATCAGGCGGCGTCTGCTGTCATTCATCTGCAACGAGAGACAGCATATCAATCATGGGGTTCATTGATTTCACCCATATAATCATCAGAGTTACGTATATACTTGCAAGAATATCTGCATGCCGCTGCACTGTACCTCCTTATGAGTTTAGATGCCGAATGGGTGTTGGCTGAACACAGAAGCGCGTTCTTCAACGGGAGAGAGAGGGGCTCGGGATTAATCTTAAAATGTAAAAACCTTCGGTTCGAAAATGAAGTAGGAAACAAATAACTGATGGTGACTTACACCTGATTACATTTACTACCTCCGAAACCCACCAGTAAAGCATTAGATTAAGGCCTCATAAATATCATGGAAAACCAGTGTGCTGGTCTTCCAGTCCCACGTGCAGTCTCAATAAATCCGTGACCCACAATATCGCTGAGGAGTCCACAGCAAACATTAGTCAAGAGTGATGAAAAACAGGGACACAGCTAGGTTTCGTGAGGGGGGATGGAGCTCAGTGAGAACGCCGAGCTTTTAGTGAGCTACTTTGCCATTAACTACTAGATATCTGATTACGGGGGGGGGGAAGGGGGCTGCTGCGCCCTTAAATTATACCCTGTGGCAACATTCTTAAATTGTCGATTAAAAAATAAGCTGTCGGTCTAATTATTGGGAAACAGTCACAGCCTTAGGATGTTCTCATTATATCAATCCCCCACATTTCTACGTTCTGGGAAGAAGACGCTGTGGCGTCATCATGGGACTAAATCACATGGCACCAACTCTACGGCGGTGTGAAAACGATGATTTTTTCGGGCTAGTTCAAGCATGAATGTTTCCTTAAAGAGGATTTTTCACCCTAGCACATTCAGTGAAGTATTTTTTGCTGGGAAACGGCGTTAGTTTGTATCAGGGCGCTTCCCACCTGTCCTCGAAAGGGAGATGAGGCAACTCATTCACCAGTGATTTATTCCGAAGAAGTCCAGCTGGAAGTGTTTAGAAATCATCTGTGTAAAAGAGTTCAACGTGCATCAACAACTGCTTTGATAGGGGGATTGCCTTCCCCACCCCCCTTTCGCTTGGCATGATGTTATTTTGTACTATAATGCGAGCAGCACATTATAAATATTTGGACAAAGTACTTCAGGACATGGGGGCAAATCCGAACGAATTCAGCCATTAGCCACTGTATCGTCACAACTTAGTCAACGCATGAGAGAGACTATCAGGTACGACAGGGGGCGAGAGGGGGAGGGGAGCAACAATGCACTTTGTCATAGAAACTATTGAAACTATCGCTGTTGCCAAGGAATGTGGATATGAGTGGGCGGGATGGAGGTTCTATCATTTTATAGTTAGTGATTTATTTAATCACTAACTGCACAGAAAGAGGGGCAAGCACGCAAGGTCCATGAATATATCATGAAAAACATAATCAGCCATGCAAACAGCAAATGCCATCTAAGTTGCACATTAATTGAAGACATTTGGTCGAATCTAAGCATCTAAAATAAGTAGTTCGAGAGGCCTGTTTAGGTACCTATCCGTGGAGACATTGTATTGTTTGCTGTATCTCTTGCCACTAGAAATGATAGGAATGCTTGAGGCACCCATTTATGATTTCAGACCACTGGTTAGCACCCAAGCATGAGCGATGAATCGGCAGGGTGGGAGGGGGGGGGGGGGGGGGGGAGAGAGAGAAGGAGGCGGGGCAGGGAAAACTGCTGTACAAATAAGGACAACTTTTGACATCCACTCCCCCCTCCTTCCAGCATCTAGACAGAGGTTCCACTGCTACGCCTCCTCCCCCTGAGCCTTAACGTGCTAGAGGCAGCAAGATGTTGACATGCGGGTAAAGCTGTGATACATCCAGCACAGCGCAGATATTTATGAACATCTGCGCCATCTGTCAGCTAGCGCAAATCGAGGCTCATCTGTAAGCTATGGCATGTTCCTGAATCCTGAACAATGTTTCCAGCTCATTTCCTTGACGTCTACGCTTGCGCGTCTTACACGTATGGGGTAGAACCAAAGCACCGCATAGGCATCTCGAAGCATGATGTAGGCTGCAGGTCCTTGTGAATAACCCGTTGTAGCTGATGTTGACTTCATCATCGACCAGGTGGGAGCAAAGCGATGCAAGCTAAACAGTGACGATGCATGCACCCCGAAGCAAGGTTTTTGAGCCACCGGAGCCTAATTAGGGCGCATTCTGATAAAAGTGCGTCGGTCCTGTTTAAAAAAAGGTCACGGCGTGATGAATTTTGTTAAAAGCTCATCTTTTACAATAACCGTGCATTTATCATTGCGCTTACCATCGCACATTTTGTTGACAAAACTCGATCGTAATCGTTCTCGAGAGCGGAGGATTTTCGTGGATGAGAGTTTTTTTGCTCCGAGCTTTATAAAACTTGGAGGGGGAAAATCTGGAAAAACCGTCCCTTGACGGTAATATTTCTGTTAATCTGGCCTTTGGAAAGTTGTATCGTTCTGGCTTTATGATAGCCAGCATTAAACTTGGTTTGACCTTCGTATGGTTGTTTGAGACAAACTGGCTATCTAGAAAAGACAATAGTAATAGCCTTATTCCTAGGACGACACTAAGAGAATGCATATATAAACGGGTTGCATTTTGGCATGCCTTTTTCGAAACGATGGCAGAAGTGCATTCAAAATTGCTTGCCAATGATCGTACTCGATTTTCCACGTTTTTTTTTTAAACGGCAAGCGACAGTTTTGCGGACAGCAACATTCAAGGGATGAAACACGGAGCGATTGCCAGCCATTACCACGATACAGCGCATATCTAAGAATTACATCCTGCAAGAATGCATGTACATGCAAACGAATTCAAGCCCACAGGCATTACACACCACGCATCCGTTATACGTGCGAGCGATTTCAGTTGAACCGGCCCCACACATTACGCGTCAGATATCACTTATACGTGCATATGATTTTAAGCTAGCACACATCACATATCAAGGCACATATCATGTTGGCATAATCGGCTATGATGAGCCCTGTACGTTAAGATTTGATCGCCGATTTTTTTAAAGAACAGATTCACTTATTTTCCCATCTGTGTGGTCCTGTAATCTGTAGATGACTTTGAGCTCTAAAAGGGGCGTGGGGTCCATACCCCCCTCGATTTCAACCTAATGGTTTTTTGCCAAAAAAGAAATGTCACCGGAAGTGGTATTCCCTATTTTGATTTGAGCGTCTCGCAGGTCTTCATCACATCTCAAACAAAATGGGCGTTGAACTGGTCATTGTTCAATTCATTAGATGTCAGACGTCACTCATGTTGGCATCGTGGTTCTTGTTCAGCTTGGTGCCGGGTAGCGAGACACGCCTGCCACTGACGTCTGTCAACAACGCAAACGTGATGCGTTCACTTTCTCTGACTTTTGACTTTCACTACATTGCCAATTTAAAACATTTGCACTTTTTTACCAATGCTCCAGCGAGCATCAAAGCTGCTGAAGATGATCTCAAGGCATCTGCAGCAGCGAGCAGCTTAGCAGCTTGACGTAGGCAAGAAAAGCATTAAGCTTCTATTTGTTTGCGTCAGAGTTTGTAGTTTGTGTGCTGAATAGAAGCCAACACAATATATCAGGCTTTTTTGCAGGTTTTGTGCTGAAGAAAAATGAACTATAACATTTCAAAAGGTTTCTTTGCAGTTTTTGCGCTCAAATGAAATCAGCTACAATACATTAGAAGGTAATAGTTGAACTGATTAGGTACTGCTAGAAGAGAACGTGCTGGTTATCAGGAATCTTGTTAGGTTGCCGAAACTCAGAACTTAAATATTCCTGTTAAGACACAGGGTTTTTATACTATCACTGAGCTCTTTGTTTGATAACAACGTTCCACCAGTAGCTCCTGGTATGTTGGAGTTGGTTTAATGTCAGCATAAGAGATCCAAACTCATCGTTGAGAAAACATTTTAATCAGAAATGTTCGCACGTCGTTAGTGATGGAAATGATCCAGAGCCGAGGATGAGACAGGACGTCCGTAGGCGGACTCCAGCGAGACAGGACTTCTCGAGCCAGACATCAGGGAGACAGGACCGCCCGAAGCAGACACCAGGGAGACTGGGATTCATAAGGTAGACTGAATGGCAAGAGGGAAGACCAAGAAGCAGCGCTTTACGTACTAGTCACCATGAAGACTGGACTTCGCTAGACGGATACCAAGGAGGCTAGACTTCACGAGCCAGACACCAAGGAGACAGGACGACAGGAGCCAGACACCAAGGAGGTCGGACGTCACAAGTCAATACTAGGAAAACTGGATTTCACGACCCAAGCGCGACAGAGACTGTAATTCGCGAGCCAGACAGGAAGGAGGCAGTCGAGAAATGTAAGACATTGGAGCAGGCATGTGGCAGAAAGCATCGCGACGCGTACTGTAAGAATATGAAGGTGTTGAGCGCGAAGCACGGATTGGATGTACCAACCGAGATACTTAAAGAAAAGAAAGCAGGGCCGTATTCAGTTGGACGTCTGTTCTCATACATGATGCTGTACAGGCAACGCAACATGAAAATAACGATCGTTGGACATCTAATGCATCATGTTTTTTTAGTTCAAGGTCTTGCATTGTTTTAAGACGCCATTTGAAGACCTTAAGGACCTTTGGTACATGTCACACAGAAAAATGCGGCTAATGATATTGTGTGTCAGTTGGTTCTTTCTGGTTCTCAACGAAATCCAAGCGTTATCAGGTAAATGTCATCAGTTAGGCGTCTTCTGTGACGTCTGACTTTCTTCCGGGCCCCAGGCGACCATTCTTGTTCCTCTGTCGTCTAAACGTCATCAGCAGGACGTCTTTTGTGACCTCTGACCCCTCTCCTGCGCCGCAGGCGGCCACTTCTGGTTCCATCTGTCGTCCAAGTGTCGCCAGCTAGACGAAGACCATGTAAAGCTGCTCAAATACGGCTCGTGGGTCACGTCTGCCGGATTCGCAGACTGGTACTTCGTCCAGACAATCAGCCCCGGCGTCAAGCCCGGTGATTTCGCCGATCTCTCCAACTTCCTCATGATGAAAGTGAGCACAAGCATGTTATGATGGCATGACTTCAGTGGTGAAGGTAATGGAAAATACATTATTCCTTTGGTTCAAGTTTCTAAAAGTACGTTTCAATATGTTGCTTATAAAGCAGACCAGAAACAGTCTAAGCGAAATCTAATCGCTTCTTCCCAAGGCAAACGAATTTCATGTAAATTTTAAAGCAGTAATGTTCAAGCATGCGCAATAGCATGGCGTAGGACCGCTTGAAATCTATGATTGTTGTTCGAGAACAGGCCACATAGCATCATAGTGTTCGCTTTAGTAGCAAATCGCACAAAGGACGGAGACATCCCTCAATTAAGATGGAACCCGTATGTCGCGCCTGTGTTGGTGTGAAGTGCTCCACAGCCTTGCTCGTTGTAGGTTAGCTATTATAACCAACATGAGCTATGGGCGTGGGGCCGTTGCAGGACGAGGTGCGAGCCAGTGCCAACGAGTGGCTTTCCCTGGGTTTGCACGGAAACCAGTCGGGACCGCTGATTTGCGAGGGAGTCCTGCCTAACGACAGGATGGTCGGACCAATCGGTAAGTCACGTGCGGCGCCGTTACAGCGGGATGACGCTTAGGCTAGGTGTCATGTCCGTGAAGTTAGCGATTTATTCAGCGATTTTTTTTTCAGCGACGAGTTCCCATTTCCCTGAAAAAGGGTCTCAGGGTGAATTGTAGCATAAGAACACCAAAAATAACCCTTATTTTGCAATTTCATATGACCTTCAAGGTCAAAAGCTGGGCCAAAGGACGGGGAACTCGACATCACCCAAAACTACCGGCAGATTTTAAAACTATAAGCATCAAAATACTCGCAAGCGCAAGAGCTATCGCCCATCAAAAAGTTTTTGCCTGTCAAGGTCACCCCTCAAGGTCAGACGGGGGCTCAAACACGGGAAACTTCATATCACCCAAAAATTACCGGCCGAGTTTTAACTTGCAAACATCAGATTATTCACCACAAAAAAACTAGCGTCCGTCCAAAAATTCAGACCTCTCAAAGTCCCCCTTCAAATTCAAACGCGGACTCCAAGGACGGGAAACTCGATATTACTGAAAGTTACCGGCCGATTTTTAAATTGTCAGCATCATAATATTCAACCTAAAAAGAACCAGCGTTCGTAAAAAAATCCTGACCTCTCAAGGTCACCCTTCAAGGTCAAACACGGGTTCAAAGAACGGCGAACTCCATATTACTCAAAATTACCGGCCCATTTTTAACCTACGAACATCAGAATATTAACAACAGAATGAACTAGCGTCAGTCAAAAAGTCCTGACATCTCAAGGTCACGGTTTAAGGCTAAACACGGTCTCAAATAGCGGGGAACTCCATGTCATCCAGAAATTACCGGCCGATTTTTAACTCACAAGAACCCAAATATTCACCACAGAAAGAACTAGCGCTCGTAACGTAAGCGACTACTGCTGCTGTCGGAGATGAGACCAATCTATGGAGTTTGGTATTATACGTAGGACTGTTTTGCAAAACACATGTTGAACATGTGTTTTGTTTTGACATTCAAATCGCTGCCAACTTTTCTTCATGCAGTTTTCCGCAACGGAAAGAAATGTTTGATACCGCACCATCAAAGTTAAAACAAAGGGTACGTAGACGAAACTTTTATGAAGTTCTGGGAATGTTTTGGGGAGGGGAGCCAAAACATACTATCAGAGTTTGTTGGGGGGCCATGGCCCCGTGGCCCTCCCCCCTCCCCCCAGGATCCACCTTGGACTGATGTGTAGAGCTGTAGCCATTAGGACATCATGAAGATATACCTTTGCGTTCACCAGACTACTTGGTTGGCTTATTAGTAATTTATCTACACCTACAGCGCAATCAGAGTGCTATCCTTGGAGGAGCAACGCCTGGACTGAACTGAAATGCCACAAACCGGAAGTTAAGTACTCCAAAGAGCTCAGCGAACGTCCAGCATTTGCTGCACTGTGCTTTAGGTGACGGCGCGCGGGCAAACGACGAATGTATAGTAGCGTACTTCTTGCTGCTAACCTCGGCCTGCTGGAACGGCATCTCCATGGCCTGCATCGACGTGGTGAAGAAGCACGTCACCAGGAAGACTCACGGCGACGTGGGCATGCGCGTGTGCGACTACCCGACCATCCAGGTCAGTGTCGGGGTGTGTCCAGGTCAGTGTTTGGGTGGGAAGAGCGCGCTGGGTTGTCCAGTCGTCTGATGTGGACTCAGTGTGTCTGATACTCCTGTCTGATCCTTACGCAATGTGGTACAGTGGAATCATGTGGGCTGAACCAAGTGTACAGTACGGTGACCATTTGCTGCATGCATGGAGCTGAAAGCAAGTGTGACTGTTCGTTATTTGATGACTAACTCAAATCGGTTTCCATCAGGAGCATTTTTCCCCGTGCCTGTAACAGCTTGTGTGTTCTGCCTGTTTTGGAACTGTGGTGTCCGAGGCTCCTCCACAGCACACTGCTGAATTTGAAGTCATGTCTGTCTTTCATAGGATTACTTCGGCGAATGCATATGCGACACGAGCGCGACGCGGCTGATGAATGTGTCGCTTGCCATGGCCTTAGACCAAGTGACTGACAACAACAACTGGGAAAAGCACAGCGACATCACGTACCTACCGAGGTGAGTGAGGCCCGGAGAACTTAGATGGTATGGGTTGGAGATCTGAAGGAAGGGGTCACGTGGGTAAGGAAGGAGCCAGTAAGGCTAGCGCTGCTAGCAAGAGCATGTTACGTCAGCAGGATGTTTTTCCGATGCTGTTGAAGTGCTTCAAGGCTCAAGTGGTGAAAATCCAAGAGGAGTACAAATACATGAAATAATAAATAACATAAAACAGAGCACAAATGCATGAAACATGCACACAATTCCACAAGGTTGCAAGCTGAGAAATACACGAAGGAGCATGACTGTGATATGATTCGGATCTCTGGAGCGCATATTGAGTGGCGCTCTTATTTCTCAACATGCAGTATCCGTCCAGCTTTTATGTCACCGAGACCATAACTTAAATGCACCTCATTACTGTGTGTTGCACGCAGGCATCACCACTTTCCACACCACGCTGGAGACCACTAAATATGAATGACCTGTTCGCAGAACCAAGTTAGATCCCTGGATGTTTCAATTAAAATTCTCCGCGGCCAAGAACGTGAGCCTGGTAACCGACAAGATGCTGCATGCGGCAGGAGGCTCTGGGTACAAGGTGGACTTGGGTGAGCTTCATAATGCAAAATGGTGATAGGATTTCTGTCCAAACGTATGACGTTTGAAATAATATGAATGTACACATACTAGAATAAACAGGAAGCTTTCCACCCAGAACACGTAACCACATGTTTCAACACCTGCATATTGTGTCGCTGACAAGTGTGTCAAGGGATCGGTGGCTTACCCCACAGCGCACCGAGCCAGGTCTCACTTGTGGTGACCCTATACTAACCTCAACGTCAAGGGTCACACGCGATTAGCCACCTGATCCACTCAGTTCTGCGGAACTAGGTGCTGCTAGCTCTGCTTATATGTTGTTCGGTTTGAGGATGGACATGTGTCACAAGCGCTGGTAAATGATGGAGATAGCTTGTGAAGTCGTATGAATTTGAACTTTTCATCTCACCTGTGTGACTAAAAAACTATTTGAGTGATTACAACTGAAGACAAGACCGTCGAACCGTCCTTGAAAGCTCTCCCGAAGATGCGGGTTCGCTTGCCTACAAATATTAATCAAATGACACCTCGGGCTGAACGCCAAGGGCACACAACTCACATTGGCGTTGACAATGCTATGATGGCGGGGCCGGCACTCTTCTATGCTCATTCCACTTGCCGTGGCCACGTGTAGAGCGCCCTCCTTATCACCCAGTCCACTCTGGTGGCCGTGGCGTCTCAGTTCCTCCGTTGGCCACCAGGTCTGGAGCGTCTGCTGAGAGACGGCAAGGCCGGGTGGGTGATGGGAGCCAGCAACGAGGTGATCAGACAGATTGTCGGCAAATCCGTTCTTCTTGGTATGGACGCCGTGGACTACTGGTAAATAAGCCGCATTTTTTATGATGGAACTGCAGTAATCCCAGGTATAAAGGTTACATGCACTATCACCTTTTACTGCCATTAACAACGCATCTAATAGCAGCGCTCCATATCCCACGGCACCATTGGCAGCTTCATCGCAAGCATAGTCATGGTGCTAAGCTACAGATGACGGGAACGATTTCCTCTGCGCTGGCAGGGAGAAGAATGTCAACACGCGCGTAGTGCACCATGAGCTGAAGAAGATGACTCTCGAACAGAAGGAGACGTTGGCCAAGGAGCTGATGGAAGACGTGCAGAACGGCCACCTCTCGGCTGAAAAGATCGCAAGCATCCAAGATGAGGACTTTGAGAACCCCTTCAGCACTGGCCCGCCGCATTACGTCAACAAGGTCTGTAGGCGACCCTCGCGAACGCAAAGGCTGAAACACTGGTACTGTGGTATATTCAGGAGAAGATGCTTGCAGCATGAAAAGTTGGTGAACTCCAATCCTCAAAAGTTACTTTAAACGTGCTTAACCTAAAACGCTTAGAAATATCCGGTATCAGGTAAGCCATCGCAACTCATGAACGCTTTACTATACCAGTCCCCACTGAGGTATGTTGGTAGCATGACCTCTCTACGCACGCATGATTTTCCTTCCTCGAGATCCCGGCTGATAAATGTTCAGCGTAAAGTTAAGATTTAGGGCGTTTTGCGCACTGCGTATTTCTAGTGTATGCTGCAATTCATGCATTGGACTTCGTTCTTCCCAGTACCTGTGACCCTATAACCATCCCATACTTGCAGCGTTTTGCACGTGATCATGACGCCCTTCCACGTGGCATTGAATTTCGCTGCTCGTTAGGGTTTGTGTTTTAAGGATGGGGGTTTTCCGCTCTAGAAATTCAGGAAAATGGAATAAGGTGAGGATAAGCCTTGGAAAATGGAATAAGCTAAGAATATGCCTTGTATCCTGTCTTTCCACTGGAAAACCTACGTAATTTCCAGACGCTGATGCTGAATGGCCACGAGTGCACGCCCGGCCTGAGCCCGGACAGCTACACCAAGATGACGCTCGAGAAGCGTTCGCCAATCGGCGACAACATGGAGCAGTTTGGCTTCGCGTACCCCAGCAAGGACAAGCACAGCGGCTGCCTGCCGGGGCAGTATGTCAAGGCACGTCTCTCGGAATGAAGCGTTCAGTGGAATCTGCCTTCGAGAAACTTGTAGTTTTCTTTCAGACCATCTGATTACGCGGGACGCCTTCTGCTAGCAATGATTGTCAGATGACGTGGAGAAATACAAAGCCTGGGGATGTCGAGGATCGAGATACACGATGTGTAGACACATGTGGACACTGTCTACCTCACCACTGCTGTGTGTCCAGGTGCGGATCCAACCCGCCGGTCACCCGGTGCAGGAGCGCTACTTCTCACCCGTGTCTCGACCAGACGAGCCCGACCGGCTGCAGCTGATCCTCAAGTTCGAGACGGCTGGCATTCTGTCGCACCATTTCCAGCAGCTCAAGCCGGGTGAGTCACAACCTGTGCAGCCGTAATAGCAACACCGGCTGCACAACTAGATACGTCGTTGGGAGTTTGGAAACATAGAAATACTGCTGGCTAGATATGTCACAGTAGATGACAGGAAAACTGATACCACTTTGTGGGGATATCACTCATTATAATGACACGATCATATCATAGATATGATATATAATTTATCACATATCTAGCGTAGCATAGATATATTATAGATATTATCATAGATATGAGCGAGATAAAATTTTAAAAATCGATGGATGTAGGAACATCTTGTTTGTTTTGACGTGTCCGTACGCGAGGCTTGTAAACATATGTTTTGTAAGTTATAAACGACATTTATTGTTGACATATTTTTGCTTGCTAGTTGATATTATATGAAAAATTTGTATATTTGATATTACATTTCATGCCATGTTTCCTATCAATCACACGATGCATTTTTATATGCTATATATTTCATGTATTTTTAATTTAGTCATTTCATATGTATATTATATGACATAAAAAGCCTTTGGGGCTATGACACGATACGTAGGCCATATATTTTGATGAAGCTCCACAAATGTACGAAATGAGGACGCATGAATGCGTTGCTGCCCAACTAGCTCTTGTTTCAAGGAAAGATCTTCGGGGCCATACAGGCTCGGCTATATTGGATCGATACCTACAGGAGACTTGTGTCTCACAAGACAGCACTTTCAGTAATGCAATTTTTTCCACCATGGTTCATAATGCAAGTTGACACCTCCCTTAAGAAGCAGAAAAATCACTTTTGTCTAACGTCTCACCCTTTGTAATAGTGCACAAATTTACACGACTGCCGAATTACAGATCCAACAATGTTTTTTGTGTAGTGTGTTCATTTCCGCATAAAACTAGGTTACTATCCAGACCAACACAGACCGTTGTGCGGGAAAGAAATGTTGGTTAGTTATGAATTTACGTGGCCACAAATTTGTCTTTGATTTAAAGCTAATCCATCACCCTCACATCGACTAGCTTGAATATTGTTGTTTCAGTGATTAAAAACGCTTTGACTTCATTGTCGCAATGACTGGTGTACTTTTACTGCTCTATAAGGGTTTGATTAGATTTAAGATAGTCTATGCGTGTCAGGTGTGTGACAGGATATCGTATGTTTCCAAGGCTTTTGATCGAATACAAAGAATACAGTACAACTTGTACGCTTGCTGACCTATAGGGCCCGAGAGGCACACCATACCTGCTGTAAATGTGTCCTATGTTGTAGTTACACTATTACTTTATGTAGTATCACATGCCAAATGCGTCCTTATTTTGATTATTTTACATGCTTCTTTTCAGAGTCTCACATGGCCGCAAGTAAATATGCTGTTGTCGCGTCCTTTCATCCCGATTACTGCTAATCCAAACCGCCATCTTCGGGCTTCACATGTCGGTGCCAGATTCCACCCTGCTCTGCCGACAAGATACCACCATATCAGTCCAACATGTTTGTATGTTGCACTGCCCTATGGCGAGGACTGAAAACCCTTTTATCTGCCCGCAGGAGATTCGATCGAGGTGATGGGTCCGTGCGGCGGCTTCGAGTACCACGCCAACACCACGGACCACCTGACCCTGATGGCCTCGGGCGCCGGGGTCACGCCCTGTCTGCAGCTGGTGCGCTCCATCATGGCGGACCCGCAGGACCGCACCCAGGTGCACCTGCTGTACTACTCCGAGACCATCGACGATGTCCTGCTCAAGGACGAGCTGGACAAATACCAGGGTCAGTCGCCTACCGCCGTCCCAGGGTCAGAGAATGGTCAGTTGTCCGCCCCACCTGTGATCACTGGAAAGATCATCGGTGTTCAGCCAACAAGCTTACCAGTGAATATCCATTTCTGAGGTCGGTAGGTCTTTAACCTTATTGCTTACTCTTTACCTGTCTTCCTTTTTATTACTCTTTTTGTTTACTGTTATTGCCTTTCTCTCTTCACCAGGCACCGACCAGCGGCTGAAAATCCTATACAGCCTGGGCGAGGCACCGGAGGACTGGGACGGCGAGGAGGGCTTCATCGATACCGACATGATCCAACGCACGGTGCCAACACCCAATGGAGGCCGCTGCAAGGTAATACAGCACCGTGGCCGAACTCCAAGGAATCTGTTGCAGGGTAACAGTGCGACTTGCGCTGGGTCGTTAGAAGGTGTCAGTGGTCTGTAGGTGCGTGTGCGTGTGCGTGTGAGTGTGCGTGTGTGCGTTTGTGTGTGGAGGCGGTACGTGCTTATGCGTAAGTGCGTGAGTGCGTGCATGCGTACGTGCGTGGAATAGGCCATATGAAATGTGAGTTGGGAAGTCACAATACCGTCTGAGGAAAACCACCCAACCCTGCATATGCCGTGACAGCTTTGAAGCGTTTTTGCGATAGTGTGTGGCTCTGCGGCCGCCGTGCGGTCTCAGAGCATGTCTCTGCTGTCTCGCCAGATGGTGCTGTGTGGCGGTCCGACCATGATCATCTCCTCTCTGAGCTCGCTGCGACAGTTGCACTACCCTGCCCGCGACATCTTCGTCTACGGCCAGTTCGGCGCCGAGCACGTCCGCATGGTCTTCGGCCCGCAACGTCCAGCTGTCCGGCCACTCGTCCAGCTGCGCCGTCTGAGGTCACGCGTGTACCATCTGGGGTCACGCGTGCGCCGTCTGAGGTCACGCGGTGTACCATCTGAGGTCACGCGTGTACCGTCTGAGGTCACGCGTGCGCCGTGTGAGGTTACGCGTGTACCATCTGAGGTCACGCGTGTACCGTCTGAGGTCACGCGTGCGCCGTCTGAGGTCACGCGTGTACCGTCTTAGGTCACGCGTGTACCATCTGAGGTCACGCGTGTACCGTCTGAGGTCACGCGTGTACCATCTGAGGTCACGCGTGTACCGTCTGAGGTCACGCGTGTGCCGTCTGAGGTCACGCGTGTACCATCTGAGGTCAGGCGTGTGTCCTCTGAAGTCACACGAATTTTAGAAATTCCATGTTAGGAAATCCAGTACAAAATTAGATGGACCATGACTCTCCGGAAGACAAAGACCCACCCATGTCCACGGTAGAAAGTTAGACGGTGGACCGGTATTTGGGGTAGAGCTAGCAATGTTAGCCTCACATATGTATCAACAGGATCATGGTGAAAATTCTCGGTAACGTGTACTGGGAGTTCAACCTCCATGCTCGTTAAGTAACACAGTTACGTGTGACAGTGTGCTTTGGTTTCCCCAGAACACTGCCGCCTGACTCAGCTTTCATTAACCTGATGCGTTTATCTCACCTAGGATATGGACCAGCATTTGCTTATGCTTACAGTTTGGGATTGCTCCTGGATAATAGAAGCCTAACACGCCGCCAGCTCATGCGTAGTTTGTTTGCTGTCTCAATTTATCGTTCTGACGCATCGCAGTGCACTGCAAGTTGTTGTTACATTTCATAAAATGTACAACGATTCACCACAATATCCTTCTGAAATCCTCACTCGGGGCACACATATCTTGGGCATATGCTCTTCTCCCAGGAGCCGTGAGCTCGAGCCCTCAGACAGACTGGGCTTGTCGTGCGGAGCCAAGATCGAAAGGGTTTGATATATATCATACATGGTATCTTCGACGCTTGGAAAAGAGTTTGCATCAAACTCAAAACAGGCACGTTGGTACATGAAATCACACATCAGCTGAGCAACTGACATCAATCTCATTACTTATCCTTGACCAGCGTTGGACTTAATTCGAGTTGAAAATGGAGCTGACTTTGAAGACATCTCAACTTTTGCTGAATCAGGTTGAAAAATGTTTTCTTCAATAGTCGGGCTAAGAATTGAGCGGAAAAAGTCCCCAGCAACTTGCTGAAGTGTAGCTGTCTGAGCTCAGGCCGGGCGTGCACCCGCAGTCATTCAGAGTCAGCGTCTGGAATTACGTAGGCTCTCCAATAGAAGACAGGATACAAGGCTTTTTCTTAGCTTGTTCCATTTTCCAAGGCTTATCCTTAGCTTATTCCATTTTTCTTAATTTCTAGAGCGGAAAACCCCCCATCCTTAAAACACACAAACCCTAACGAGCAGCGAAATTCAATGCCATGTGGAAGGGCGTCATGATCACGTGCAACGCGCTGCAAGTATGGGATGGTTATGGGGTCACAGGTGCCGGAAAGAACGCAGTCCAATGCGTGAATTACAGCATTAACTAGAAATACGCCAAGTGTGCAAAACGCCCTAAACTTTAACTTTAAGGGCTGAACATTTATCAGCCGGGATCTTGAGGTAGGAAAATCCTGCGTGCGTGGAGAGGCCATGCTATCAACGTACCTCAGTGGGACTGGGATAGTAAAGCGTCCATGAGTTGCGATTGCTTTCCTGATACCGGATAGTTCTAAGCGTTTTAGGTTAAGCACGTCTTAAGTAACTTGAGGATTGGAGTTCACCAACATCTCATGCTGCAAGCATCTTCTGAATATACTACAGTACAGTACAGTGTTTCAGGTTTGCTGTTCGGGGGGGGGGGGGTCACCTACAGACCTTACTGACGTAATGCGGCGGGCCAGTGCTGAAGGGGTTCTCAAAGCCCTCATCTTGTATGCTGGCGATCTTTCCACCCGAGAGGCGGCCGTTCTGCACGTCTTCTATCAGGTTCTCGACCAGCATCTGCTGTTCGAGAGTCATCTTCTTCAGCTCGTGGTGCACTACGCGCGTGTTGACATTCTTCTCCCCGCCAGCGCAGAGGAAATCGTTCCCGTTGTCTATAGCTTAGCATCATGACTATGCTTCCGGTGAAGCTGCCAATGGTGCCGTGGAATATGGAGCGCTGCTATTAGACGCGTTGCTAATCGCAATAAAAGTGATAATGCCTGTAACCTTTATACCTGGGATTACTGCAGTTCCATCATACAAAATGCGGCTCACTTACCAGTAGTCCACGGCGTCCATGCCAATAAGAGCGGATTTGCCGATGAGCTGTCTGATCACCTCGTTGCTGACTGCCATCAGCCAACCGGCCATGCCGTCTCTGAGCAGACGCTGCAGACCTGGTGGCCAACGGAGAAACTAAGTCGCCACGGCCACCAGAGTGGACGGGGCGATGAGGAGAGCACTCTACACGTGGCCACGGCAAATGCAATGAGCATGGAGGAGTGCCGGCCCCGCCAGGTCATCATAGCATTGTCCACGCCAATGTGAGTTGTCTGCCCTTGGCGTTCAGTCCAAGGTGTCATTTGATTAATATTTGTGACAGAAATCTTATCACCATATTGCACTATGAAGCTCACCCCAATTCACCTTGTACCCAGAGCCTCCTGCCGCAGGCAGCATATTGTCGGTTACTAGGTTCACGTTCTTGACCGCGGATAATTTTAATTGAAACATCCAGGGTCCGAACTTGGCTCTGCGAACAGGCCATTCGTATTTAGTGGTCTCCAGTATGGTGTGGAAAATGATGACGCCTGCGTGCAATACACAGTAATGACGTGCATATAAGTTATGGTCTAGGTCACACAACAACTGGACTGATACTGCATATTCAGAACTAAGAGCGCCACTCCATCTGCGCTCCGGAGATCCGCATCATATCACAGTCATGATCCTTGGTACATTTCTCAGCTTTCAGCCTTGTGCAATTGTATGCATGTTTCATGCATTTGTGCTCTGTTTTATGTCATTTATTATTTCATGCATTTGCACTCTTCTTGAATTTTCACCACGAAAGCCTTGAAACATTTCAACAACAGCATCGGAAAAACATCCTGCTGACGCAACATGCTTTTGGCAGCAGTGGTAGCCTTGCTTACGTGAATCCTTCCTTCAGATCTCCAGCCTATGCTATCTACGCTCTCCGGGCGTCACTGACCTCGGTAGGTACGTGGTGTCGCTGTGCTTTTCCCAGTTGTTGTTGTCAGTTTTCTTGGTCTAAGGCCATGGCAAGCGAAGCATTCATCAGCCGCGTCGCGCTCGTGTCGCATATGCATTCGCCGAAGAAGTCCTATAAAAGACAGACATGAA